CTGACTGACAGGACAGCATCTACACTGAGTTTAGAGTTATCCCAATGGCTGGCGTTGGGGAAGATCAAGTGCAAAAAAGACCTATTCTGCTATCACTTAGCTAATCAAAGGATATATTGCCCTTCAGAAAGCTCAGTATAAAACCCCAACTCCTCTGAAGCCAGTGGGTGATTTGCAGTTTGCTGTCCTTCACAACTTAGGTATAAAGCCCTTTGTTTTTCACCTGTGAGATCCTGCAAGTGTCATTCACTATTAATTATTATATTAGATAAGAGACTTTATTCAAATTCCTTCATGTAAAGAAAGGTCTATAACTTTGCAAAAAAGTTTGAGCAATGCTTTAGTGCTCCTTTTGTTCACCTGTTCTAAAATAGAAAAAATTGCAGGTATTCTTATCAGAAATGTCACCATCCAGTACAGATCTCAGACCCCATCAGCTATAAAATAAAAGCAGATGATAAGAATTGTTAATGACAATCTGAAGCTATGTATTGTGGTTAAATTAGTTGACAAAAAAACAGTATAAAAAGATTAATGAAAATAATATTACTTAAACAAGTAAACTGAAATGTTTAAGGTATTAAAATGTCCCATGCCATGCTTTCCTTTCAATTTGCTACTGATAAAATAAGGTGAATTCATCACGTGTTTCTTGGCATTGCAGAGCATTCATGGTGTGTGTGCCTGTTTGTGTGTAAGTATAGGTGTGTGCATCCTTAAGCTTTGGCTGTGCCTGGTAGTGGGAATATTGGCATTTCGGTGTCAGAACACCACCAAGTGGGCTATAAATACTTGGTCCTTCAACTAATATTCTCTTCAGACAGAATTAAAAAAAAAAAAAAAAAAAAAGTAAGAAAAATCTAATTAAGACTTAAAATGCATTAGGCAGATTATTTGGCCAGTACAGAACTAGAGTGGAAAGCTGCCAAGCAGTACTAGTAAGTTCTGTTGAGCAAACCCGTAGTCTTTTTAAAGCCACTGACTTGGTACACAGATTGAATAATCCTGGAGAAAGCATATATTGTCTGTCCATTTCAGGAAATTGCAAATTCGTAATGTAAAACAGTGCCCTGATGTGTTTTTTCTCTCTTCTCTTTATCTGGTAGTGTGCACTATATATATGTGTGTGTATGTCTCTGTATTTGCATGCACACTTACATGTACATTATTATACAAATCTATACAAAAGCATGTATTAATTACTTGATTAAACAGGACAGTCTGTTTGTGTGGATATCAAACCTAGAACCCAGGCAGCTTCACATCTGACTTTGGGTAATAAGACCTCCTAATATCTAAGCTCAGAGACAGATAAATCCAGGAACTTCTGCATAGATATTGTCAAGACTCCATATTTGGAGATATTTTGTCAGTCAATGTATATACAATGCACTTAGATATTTGCCTTGGGAAACGTAGTTTTAGAGATATCAGGGATCCATATGTACACATACCACTACATACATCTCTGATGGAAGGTCAGTCTTTAAGGCACCATGGAGCTGGTATCAGGGTTTCATTCTGTGCTTGCACAGCACATGGCAGCCTTGGCCTGTGGATGGGGCAGTTATGTGCTGCTGTAAGACAAAGTCAGTAAAGATGATTCAGGAGCTGAGAAGAAAATGAGGAGGTAATGGCATTGTATGGGGGATTTGGAATAATGCTGCCTTGTACTGTCAGCCTGAACCCTTCCAGTCATGTAAAGGGAAAAGAGTAAGTCTGGTGAAGTGTGAGGGCTCTTATCTCATTCTGTCTTTCAGCAATGACCGGTGCCACATGGCCTCCCAAAAATGCCTTCTTTGTTTAGCCAAGAATTACACCCTGTAAACATTCCCAATCACTGCATCGAAATGGTTACATTTATTATAACAGCCTGCTGTAAACTTTGGTTCAATAGTCTGTTCTGAGAGGGATTAATATGTGCTCTGGGAACACCATTATCAGTGGTGAGGAGTCACAGCAGTAGACTCTCTGGTCTCATCTGGTGCCACACAACACAGGAGAAGCTCAGTGTTGCCCACTGCACTCCATGTTCTATCTCCCTTGGGTTTCCCTACAGATCAACTCAGGTTTGCCTAAAACTTTGCAAAGTATGGCAAAATATTTCCTATCAAAAAGATCAAGGTCAAGGGGAAATCATGATATTCCTCTTTGTCTCACCCTGGTAAATTAATTTTGATGCTGCTCATTGTCACTCCAGGAAAGTTGTGTGTCACCCTTAGTTGTCTTCTCTACAGGCTCTACTGTTATGACTCTGCCAGTGAGAACAGATGCATCGTGTTTTAAGGGAATTTCTTTCATCAATATTGTTGTACTGTTTTCTGGAGATGTGTGAACTAAGCTATCAGAGCTGCTTTTTGTCCACAGAGTGCATCCATGCCCCTGACTTAGTGACAGCAAGGAAGAGAGTGAGATTTATTCATTTCCTGAGATGACAGAGCATGGGATACTGCAGAACTGGTCCCAGTCACCCATCAGTGGTGCCATGTGTTTGTGTAGCTCCTAGCACAACACTGCCTCTGCCACAGTGGGAGACCCATGGCCTGTTTCTCATAGGTGGTGTTGATGATAATGCTCAGAGAATTAAACTTGTACCTTCCTGCTGTGAAGGTACAAATAGTGGGTGGTGCAGACTGTATTTGCAACACTTTATTCTGTCTTCTGTTTTGTAGGAGTAAAATAAGAGGTTTTCATTTAGAGAAGGAAATTAGGGTTGAGGTAGGAGATGAGTATTTCTAAAAGTGATCATCTATATTGCTGCAAAAACTATAATTGGTATTCTCAGAGTCATGGATTAGTTAAGATTGGAACTGGCATTTGTAGATCCTCTGACTCGTGCTTAAAAAAGGACCAACTTCAGAGGTAGCCAAGGTTTCTCAGAGCCACGTTCTATCAAATTTTTAAAATCTGCTAGGTTAGGTGTTTTGTCACCTTTCTGTGCAACCTGTTCCAGAACTTAACTCTCTTCCTTTCCATTTATTTTTTAATTAAGTTGGAATTTGTTTTGCTGCAACTAACTTGCGATTGTTGCCTCTCATCCTTTCACTGTGCGTATCTGAGAAAAGGTGAACTCTATCTTCTTTGTAGCCATCAATCAGTAAGTAGAAGGCACCAGTTAGATCTCCTTCTTTAACTTTTTTCTTCTCCAGGCTGAACTAATTCACGTCCCTCAGCCTCTCCTCCTGTGTTCAACTATCTTGATAGCCCACTGATGGACTCAATATAATTTGTTGATATCCTTCTTGCACTGTGAGGAGGGGAAAAGGTCCAAAAGTGTAACTGGATTTTAGTTGTGGTTAATATTTTGTATTAACTGTCTATTCTGTTGACATTGGATGCTCAAGCCTTGTTCATAAATGCAATATAATGCCTTTCATTCAAATGTTGGGAACGTCAGGGAATACCTACTCAGCCTTCTTGGAAAAGCCTGTTTCCTGAACACGCTGTACCCAGGTCATCCTGTCCCATTCATTTGACACTCTGTGATAGCAATACAGTTAATTGCTTTTTTTCCTATTGCTGAACTGACTGGATGATCCTGGAGATGCTGAATTTGTTTTCTTCTTTGACAAAGCGCATACACTCATGGATTTTTACAAAGGAACCAGAAACATCTAGGAAAAAGCAGAAGAAATGGAAAGCCCTCAATTTCTTTTTCTATGAATAATTTAGTGCCAAGTTAACTGAAACATTTGAAAAAGAGATTTTTGGTGCCTAGCTTCATTAAACCCTCTATTCCCAAATGTATTCTCTATCAGTGTCAGCATCCAACACTTCATCTTGTCCCAACCACAGCAAAGGCCTTGTGGAAATAAAATGCAGGGGAAGGGAGAGGAAAAGCAGATTAATGTTGCCATTATGCATGTCTCTGTGTGTGTGCATGTGCTCTGTAAACTTACTGTGAGGGAAAAAAAATCTATATGAAAAGAAGGAGTGAAGTCCCAAGCCACATCAGCCTTCCAAAACGTGCACTCCTTTCGGGGGTATGAGCCACGCTCTGTTGCATTAAGGAACATTGTGCCACACTCCAACCCGCTTCTCTGGAGCATGAGTTTTAATCAGAGTATTATGTTCTCGTCCACTAAGCTTTTACCAGCACAATGAGTGGGACCTCCTTTACTTGGCAGTGGTTTCTGTCAGCGATCTGTCTTCTACAGCTATTTCCGTGGGAAGGCCCTCCATCTGGTGCTTGGCAGGGAGGGGAACTTTCCTCTCAAATGTTTTCTCTCTCTCTCTCTCGCCCTGTTTAAGGTATACCCTTTGGAAATCTTCAGCTTCCAAGATTTATTTTTGCACAGGGTACATACTTTGTTTTACGTGGTCTGGCTTTCTTTTAACAAAACGCCACCCCCGTGCCCTGCTTATCCTGGCAGAGGGAGAAGAATGCTGTTTGCTTTAACATTACCTTCGGTCTCAGTATGCAACAGGTCAAAAGATGTGACAAGTACACATGCTAATCCCTTTCCCTTTCAGTTAATAGAATAACACAGATGGGAAAGTTTACATTGGGATCTGACACTCGCTCCAAGCTGAAGTTAAGAACGAGACGGGGCTGGACACTGCCTTTCAGATCAGAGCGGTTACTACACAAACTCACCTTCCCACTCAGCATCAGGTTGCTCCTGTCATCTTAAATTCCATTTGCTCTCCTAAGAATGTTCCCCTTGCCCTTCTACTCTCTTTTTGAGAGTAGTAGGTAGAACTGGTTAAGACGTTTTAAGCTTTTGTAGAATTAAATATTCATCAAGAATCAGTGATGTTAAAGTGAAAAAAATGTCAGCATTTTCCACTGAAGCACCACCATTTGTTTTAAAATGGTGACTTTAAACATTTGGCATTTCTGAGCATTGAAATATCACATAAGAAGATAATTCCTGCTAAAACCAGACACTTTCTAAGGAATATCAATTTGATTTCAATAAGACCCCATATTACCAGTTTTCTCATGTATAATCAGACTGTTTACATTTCATTTGATTCTGGTTTCTGTTTCTTTTTAGCCTCCAGAATATGTCCTCTGACATTCTGCATGACATAGCCCATTTGTAATCTTGCATACCTGAAGATTTGTCACTTAAGTTATTCCTACAGAAAACATGCAGAAGAATAAGACCTAGAATTATGCCTTTGAAGGGAAAAGCTGCAGCAATGACTAACTGAAAGGGCTGATCCATCACACACCAAATACTACTTTCTTCCCACCAGGTATGCACCACTTCACAACGCCTGTCATGAGAACCTTCTGCCAGCTCCCGATGAGGGACCAAGTTTCTGGTTACCAGCAATTCCTTAAAATTAAGATTTTGAAGGTATCTCTGTAATGAGATGAATATCTAAGATCTATTCTTAGATAGACATGGGCCTCAGAGTATAAATCTAAACACAGGGAAATTGTATCTTCTACAATTGCTTTTTTTAAAATCCCAATTCTATAAACAAAGCTATATATTATTTAATAAAAATAAGGTTAGAGATGCAATTAAAGACATAATATTTTTTACTGAAAAAGACATATATTTACACTGAACTTACTAGCAATGAAAATACTTAATTTGTATTAGAAACTGTGCCTATAACGTTTTCATAACTACAAATGTATTGCTTGTTGGAAGCACTCAGTTAGTGACCTGCTTTCTGATTAGAGAACTAACATTTGTGTTTGAGATTCACTGCCTATCTTTTTTGTCTAGTTTCTTTCAAAATGTGCAGTTTCAGAGCTGCTTTTTCACATTGCTTTAGACATTTATCCATTAATTTTGTGGCAGATAGAGTGTGTACCTCTTTCAGCCTGCTACCTACTGACACCCATGATAACCTACTAATGCTTGATTCAAAAATCAAGATCTCAAATTCAGAATTCAAGATCTCTGTCTCTGTCCTGGCAACAGCTGTGAGGCTCATTCGTGCTGCACAGACAATGCAGAGGAGAGAAAAGAGCAAACTCAGCTTGAAGTTCAAAGCCTCAAATTTAAGTGAATGGTCTATCTAGATCAATGGAGAGATACTTCCCCAGAGAGAACATGAGGAAGATGAGCTTAAATTAGATGCTTGTATTTTAGTGACTAGGATGAGATGAGAGAGATCCTACAATCAGGACTGGTCCACAAAGCAGCTTCGATACACAGGCCAAGATTCAGGGCATCTTGGATTGGCGGTTTTCTGAGGTTTTAGCATTGGAAGTTATGCTGGTATTTCTGATTGATGCATGAAATGGGCACCATCAGGGAAGCTAAGTGTCCCACAGAAGCTCTGATCTGACTTCTGGAGGCACCTTTCTTCTTTCTTTGTAGAAAACCCTGAAACAGCAGTATTTTGAGTATCACTGTAGCGATTAAATGTGGATCAGGTGAGTCCAGGTCATGATTCCTACATAGGGTCCAACATTCCCATTGGTTCTGGTGAAGTTCAGGCTTCTTATTTGTGGCAAGGCACCTAAATGCTTTTGCCATCCTGAGCTTTGTAATTTCACTTCTGACTTCTTGACTAAGAACTCTAGCAAGGGAGAGCAATTAGTGCCCATCACAAGGAAAGCTTTTGCAACATGGGTGACTGGCCACAGGAAACACAATTGAGACCACCAACTGTTTTATTTGTTTTTGTTCCAATTTCTGCTGATTGAGAAGCTCATGAGATACATCTCATTTCCCTGGAGGTCCCCAGGGAAGCAACAGTCAGACAATCCCTTTCTCGCCTTCTTTGGGCAACGCTGGTGGTATAGCACTGCTGGCACTGCGCTCAGGCCGCTGTGGTGGTAGGTCTCAGCATAGGCAGCTTCATAGCTATTAAAGTCTGCCTAAATGAGGTCTGATTCAATGCAACAGGCAGCTTATTTCAGCCACCACACTCTTATTGTTAGATGGCAAATACTTTAATTCACTATTACTCAGAGCCTCATTTGAACAGGTTACCTAGAGGAAAACAGCTTAGTGTCCTAAGCTACAGGTTATAAAGAATTAGACAAAAATATCACATAATGGGGATGGTGCTAGAGACGCTCCACTATGGGTGTAAGCCACTGTCCCGGCCTTTTTAAAAATAGCCTCCTACACGCTGTAGTGCCAGAAGGAGGTTTTCAGATCTGTATCTGTCTGCAGGACTAAGTTTTAAATTTTCAGATGTCTTTGCATTTCTCTGCACTAGGTTATGCCCACAGGTATCACATAATGCAGTAACATCTAAACTGCATTATCCTTTGGCTAATTTGAGCAGGAAATTCAGTTTTCCTTGGAATCATGCTCCTCCCTTCTTCCTCCAGTTTGAGGGAGGCCAGTAATTTGCTGGTGGCCGTTTAACCTCAGGAGGCCTTTTCGCCTTCCCGTCTCCTACCCCACACAGCCTAAGATGCTCTTGCCAGCAAGCTGAGCTGAGGCTCGCCTCGTTTCCTCCCCTGTAATTCCACTCTTTACTTGGAAGAGAAAGGTGGTGAATAGATTAAAGTTACTCCTTCCTCTGTGGCCAGTCTATCAGTCCTTCCTGTGTATGGGAACATAGACCAAGTCACATCGAGTTCCAGTAGTAATTCAGACAGAGAGAGGGCCTTCACATTAACTGGACCTTGCATATGAATATCTCAAAGACTTCAAAAATTACACTTCTGCCATGTAAATTAAATATGCCAGCACATCCATCTTACAAACCATCTGTTCTATACTTAGAACTTGCCTCAACTGATGTTATTTGGAGTATGCCCACCAAGTTTAGTTTCAGCTGGGTGATCTTAGAAATAATTTTTTGACAGTGTCATTTATGGTTCTTCATCTATTTCTTTAATTCAACTTATTTTCATATAAGATCTCTGCTTCCTAATGCTGTAGGTACAGCACAGACCTGATCCCTGTAACCTCACAAGCCATAAACAATTACAAGATCATGTCCACAACAAGTAGTAAAATCTTGTTTTATAAAAATGTCTTATCTATCCAGAAAATGTGTTTTTGTAACAGGGATAAGGCACGGCATGAACACCAGTTCATTTAAAGCATACAATCAAATACGTGTGTGTATGTGGATTATAAAACTGTTTAGGAAAAACAGCTGGAAGATAAATATCCAAAGAGTTATTTGTATGTTAAGATAGCCTATGTTTATTGCCATTCCAGAGATTGTGTGACTGATCAAACCAAATTTGTAACAAAACATTCAAAATATAGGTTATTTTTGGACGAAGAGAATTAAGTTTTCCTCTGCCACGATGCCTACAAAAGGAGCTGACAATGCCAGGGAACATGATGTGCTGAGACTATTGCTTACCATAGTTGCCACATAGATCTCTCTTATTTCTTGTTTGTCTCTCTCTCTCTCGTCCTGCATTTAGATATTAAGATCCTTGGGCAGAGCGTGGTTTGGCATTCGTTGTTACAACAGTCATTACTCCAAAGGAGCTCATGATTTGGGACCGAATGATGATGATAGTAGATGTTGAATGTAAGTCACAAAAGAAAACTCCACAGATGAGCCTGAATTTAAAAATGTAACATTATAAGAGGTTTATGAGAAAGCACAAATTTTGCAGAGTTATGTTTAGTTCCTCTTTCAATTTCTGATATGTGGCAGCCTTATGTACTCCAGAGAAGAGGTGACCACACACATCTAGCAGAGTTTCCTCCTGGTGATTCCTCTCTGAGTACTTCAACATCCTAGGACACGGCAGAGAACACTGTGTCACACGTTCATATTTCATGTGACTTGCCTATGAATCATACCTCCTTTTGTGACTGGAGCCATCTCATCACTCACTTTCTGAGAATTTAGTTGACTAAGGTTTCCTCTCCTAGGTTTCTTTTTCCTTGGCATACTTCTATTTCCCTTCACCTGACGCCAATCCTGACTTATTCTTTGGCACACTGTGTATTTCAATTCCATCTGCGGAGCCTAAGTATGCCTTTTGAACACAAACCTAGGTGAAGGGGAGAAAGAAGTAGGTTAGGGTGGCACCATTCCTGGAAGACCAGCAGGAGATGGAAAATGTCCATGAATTCAAGGCTGTTTTCAAGCAGCCTAAATCCTACCTATGTTCTCGTGCCTAACATTGTCCACAAGATATTCTGGACCTTCAGGGTTGCCAAACCAATAGGAAAACAAAGTTGAACTAGGAGAATTAGATAGAATACAGCTGTTGGAGTCCACATGAATCTGTGTCCTTCACAGTCACGGAGCTTACTGGCAAAGCTATGTGAATAATGGTCTATTTTTGTTTTCTGACAATTCTGAAAACATGCAGCAAAAATATTTGTAAAGAACTTTTGAGTGTATTCAAAACAATCTGTCTTTAAACAGTGTGTGAACTGAAAAGCTATCAGCCTTCCTTCTTGGGTTGAATGAGAAGTTTAATTTTTTTTATTTAATTGTTTTTATTAATTTAATTTTCTTTAAGATTTAAATAAAAACCCCACAAAATGTGAAGTAAGTTTAAAATTATTAACGAAAAATGCAGATATTTCCTTTTGAAAATTTGAAAACTAAACATTTAAATGTTTTTGAACTGGTTTTATTGTGTGAGATGGTTATTTTAAACCACTAGGCTTTGAAGAAGCTAGCACAGAGCTGGGGAATATTTTGGTTGATCAGAAATTAGATTTTGGCAAAATCTTTGCTATAACACTTTGACCAGCTCTAGGCATCAATCTTGCCTCTTCTCCCTTCACTTAAGGCAACGGCTGAAATATTGTTTGGTCCTAACATGACCTGTACAAGCAGAAAAAAGGTATAATCATCTCTGTTGCTCAGACTTTTTGACTTTATAAGGGTTTATAATGTAAAACTGTCCATACTACTGCCAGAAAGACAGACAGTTTGAGGGAAACACAGATGTAATTGACAAGGGAGTCTGTATACTACAAATGACATAGGACTGTTTGCTTCATATTTCTGTATGGGATTGTTTTGTCACAGGCAACACTGGCCAAATTGCTGAGCTGTGTGTTTATACTCTCTCAGGTCCTCTCTGCAGTAAGGTACACGTGTTTGCATACGATGAAAAAAAATTCTGCCTATCATTCCCAAAGAAAGAAATAAAAGTCCCTCCCACTTGCAGAATGTATATTCATCTGTTGATCCTCCTTGCAAATGGAGAAAGGCAGTTATAGTGGTGGAAGTGAGGTTAATGCTCAGACCTTTACTTGGAAATAGGTCAGTAAAAAAGAAGTAAACAACCACAAAGAGTGGAAG